GTTCGTTGATACTTAACAAGAGCCATTTGTTTAAACAATCATGCCAACCAGCAGAGGCCCGCTGAGCTGGGATGGAGTTTCACAAAGAGATGGTGGGTAAGTGAAGTTTGGGAATCATAATGCCAGCTTCCTCCTTCTAGAAGGTTCCATGACTTTCATCCCTTCTTCTGAAAACCCTTTGGTAAGCAGATGTATTGACGTGCCAAGTCCAAACAATGGCTGACGGTCACTGATGTATGAGGAGGAGGAAGACTCCTAGGCCTGCCTCAGCTAATGGGGAAATGTCATCCCAGCACCCAGGAATCACATTTGCTACGGGTATTGGAGAAGGGAGGGGTGACATCTGTCCACAAATTTACCTCTTGGGGTGTCGCAGTTCCCAACACACATTCGAGGTCCCTAGGTGGAGCAAGCAGGTTGCTCTTGGCTACTCACCTAATTCAACTTATCAACAGGAGAAAGCCTTGACAATGTATCCCTGTAAAGAAACCAGCCTAGATAACCCTGTGGGGTACTTCTACTCGGTCACATAGGGTCTCTATGAGTCAGAAATGGACTTGACAGCATATAACAGCGACAGTCACAGGAGAAGGATGGCATGTTTGGTAAGGTGGAGTGTCAGAGGAAAAGAGGAAGACCCCCAACGAGATAGGCCAAGTGGCAGCATCGATGGACTCAATTTGGCCCAGGATTGGGCAGTGTTTCATTCTGCTGTGCATAAGGTCACTATGGGTCGGTACCGACTCGATGGCACTTAACAACATCAACAGTGACAGTAACCTAAGGGTGGGTGATTCAAATCCACCCAGTGGCACCAGAGAAGAAAGGCCTAGTCATCTACTTTCATAGAGCCAACAGTCTAGAAACCCGTATGGAAGCAGCTCTAAGCAATCCTACAGTTGCTGTGACTTGAAGATTGACAATACCTAACAATGCCAATTCCAATCATTGGTCTTCCAGATTTCTTGGTTTAGATGAGTGAGGTGACCCAATGTAAAGAAACCAAAAATCCTCACCACTGGACCAATAAATCACATCCAGATAAATGAAGAAAAGATTGAAGTTGTCAAAGACTTCATTTTGCTTGGCTCCACCATCAACACTCATGGAAGCAGCAGTCAAGAAATCAAATGATGTCTTGCATTAGGCAAATCTGCTGCATAAGACCTCTTGAAAGTGATCATGAACAAAGGTGTCAGTCTGAGGACTAAGTTGCACCCGGCCCAAACCATGGTATTTTCAATAACCTCATATGCATGTGAAAGATAGACAAGTAACAAAGAAGACCGTAGAAGAATTGATGGATTTGAGTTACAGTATTAAAGGAGAATATTAGAAGTACCATGAACTGCCAAGAGAACAAACAAATCTGTGTTGAAAGAAGTATAGCCAGAGTGCTCCTTAGAAGCCAGGATGGCCAGACTTCATCTCTTATACTTTGAACATATTATCAGAAGGGACCAGTCCCTGGAGAAGGACATTATGCTTGGTAAAGTAGATGGTCAGTGAAAAAGAGGAAGACCCTCAGTGTGATGGATTGGCACAGTGGCAGCAGCAATGGGCTCAAACATAACAATCACTGTGAGGTTGGCATAGGATCGGGCAGTGTTTTGTTCTTTTGTTTATAAGGCCACAACGAGTTGGTACCTAACAACAACAAACAATACCACTGGGGAGCGCGGTGTGTCTGTAGGATAAGCATTGGACTGCAAACCACAAGGTCGGCGGTTTGAGCACACCAGTGGCTCTGTAGGAAAATGATGAAGCTTTTTGTTTATGCACAAGTTCATAGCCTTGGGAACTCTATACAAGGTCCCTGTGAGTCGGAATTGACTTGATAGCACTTAATAACAATAATAGTCTAAAGGTGGGTGATTCAAGCCCACCCAGTGGTACCACAGAAGAAAAGTCTGGCCATCTACTTTCCTAAGGATAACAGCCTAAATACCCTATGCTGTCGTCACACAGGGCTGCTGTGAGTCCGAAATTGACAGTACTATAGAATAAACACTGGACCGTGAGGTCAGTTTGAACCACAAGGTCGGCAGTTCCAACTTACCAGCCACTCCTTAGAAACCCTATACCGGTTTGCTATGGGTTGGAAGCAACTTGAAGGCAGTTCACAACAACAACAAACCCACTGACCTAAAGATGGGTGATTCAAACCCACTCAGTGGCACTGACAGCCTGGAAAACCCTATGGAGTTGTTCTAATTTATTAACACAGGATGGCTCTGAGTCAGACTCAGTTCAACATCAGTGCATTGTTTTACTTTCCTTGTTTTCTAACACATTCTCCTTTGGCACCTGGGGTGTGTCTCCTAGTGGATCTCAGCCCCTTGCAAGCCCAGTCATTTATTTAGTGAGCGCACAGGAAGTGCCCAGCCCCTGTTTGCCTGTCTTGTAGCCAATGAGGCTTGTTTGAGGGTCTATGTAAGGAGCCATAACTTCAAACCTGTTGCTCAGACTACCGTTTAAATGGTTGAAAAGACAGTATACCCTTTCAGCAAACGATGCCTTCCAATGAATGTCAGCTCTGTAACTCGTGAGTTTCATTTCCAAATAAATTTCAGCTGCCTTGAGATTGTGTGGAGACATCCAAACAGTGTGCATTGTTCAGGGATAATTGATGGGTGATGAAACAGCACCACTTTCACATGGAGCAAGAATGAGGAGCGGAGAGCAGGGAGCGTCGGCACCACATGCCCAGAGCAGATATGTCCAGAATGTCTGGTGCCTCTGCCTGTTGTCACCTTTGCCTTTCAGGGCTTCTCGGTGTATCTGGATTCCTCAGAGCTGCGGACCATAGACAATGTCTCTGTCTGTTGTCTGGTGTGAAGAGATTCTTTGAAAGTGCACTCTAGATTTCTTCAGGCTGAAATTGGAAGGAAAATTCTTGAAGGAAAAAGTCTTTATCATCAGTGCTGATGACCTGGGAACCCTAACCAAGTTTATGGAGCTAAAATATTAGCAACAGCAGTAATTCCTAGGACTGAAAATGGAACATACACAGCCTCCCTCTGGCAATATAAAGATTTGAGTAATTAGATTAAATTACTAAGAGCGGACCAGAGCTCAGAGTAGGCAGAGATAGCAAAAAAAAAAAAAAGAAAATGAGAAACCAAATTCCTTTTAATCTTGAAAAGGAAATCTAAAGGTTGTATAATTATTTGTCTTTATTTCTGAAATGGCTTGAGACAACTTCCTGGTAGAATTTAAAATAGAACATTTATTCTGAAAATCAATATCAGAGTGTTTACCTCAAAAAACAGAACAAAACAAGGAACTACAGCATGAAAAAGGGAGACAGAAGTCAGCACAATGACAACACGAATGATGTAGATGGTAACTGTCCTAATGGAATTGTTGTTAAGTGCCATGGAGTCGGTTCTGACTCATAGTGACCCTGTACAGGGTTTCTGAGGCTATAAATCTTTATGGGAGCAGAAAGTCTCATCTTTCTCTCGTGGAACAACTGGTAGTTTCGAACTGCTGACCTTGTGGCTCACAGCCCTATTCGTAACCACTATACTATCAGAGCGCCTCAAATTAGATTTTAAAAAACTCCAGTGAACTCGTCAGAGTGGTTGAGTTATGGAACTCAGTGTAAGATGTGTGTGAGAGAGAGAGAGAGAGAGAGAGAGAGGTCATTAAACAGCTACTAATGCCATAATCAACAGGTAAATCATTATTAACCAACATAATGCCTATGAAAAGTGAAAATTCTGGCATACAAGGAAAAAGTGGACAGGAAAGTAATTCGAGTGGGACATTTTAAATTCTTCGTTATCTTGTGTCAGGTCAAGTTCATGGTAAAAAATAAATGAGGACATTGTCTGGGTTACCTAGTACTTCCATAACAAAAGGGAAAATTGCACGCATGGGTGGTTTTAAAGAATAGATGTCTATTGTCTCCAAGTCCTGGAGGCTGAAACTTTAAATTGGGAGCTTTCCTGGTTTCTGTCTTGGCTGCTTCTAGCAGCATCGAACTCCATCATCATGTGCCTGTGTCTCATGTTGTATCTCTCTGTTCTCCCCTTTATCACAAGGGATTTGGGTTAAGACCCACCCCTTATGTTGCGATATCAACATAACAAAAGGCCACCCCCCCCCTTCACAAAGAGGGCCACTTTCATAGGTACAGGGGTTTGTACTTAAACATATCATGTGAAGGACACTTCAGTCCATACATAACCCTCAACACACCTACTGCCATCTGGTAGATTGTGATACAGAGACCCTGAAGGACAGAGTGGAAGGATTTCTTGGAGTTTCCGAGGCTATAAAATCTTTATCCAAACAGATTGCCACATCCTTGTCCTTTGAAGCAGCTGATGGATTTGAACCACTGACTTTTTGGTTAGCAGCCCAGTGCTTTAAGCAGGGCACCACCAGGGTGCCTCAACCCATAGCAGACAGGAATAAACAAAGTAACTAGAAAGAACAGATAGACAACATAATTAATTCAACTCCCTACTGGATAAGAATTGCCTACAAACCAGACGCAAAGTCTCAATCAATTCAGAAGGCGAGAGGAGGAAGGAGTAGCTTTTGGTGGGCGGAATACATTTTCTAATGGCAAAACTACGAAATAAAACTTAACAGCGGCTTCTCAACACAAGGCAGGTACGGAGGGAGTGGAGTTTGAGGGCCTCGCTGCCTTTGGCGTCTGTCTGATCATGAATCTTCTGGTTGTAGAACTTTGGGCAGGTTTCTCAAGGTCAAGAGCTTTGGTTTACTGATCTATATAATGGCCTTCTCCTGCCTACACTAGGGACCGTGGAGCTGAGAGGTAATGTGGTCAGGTGCGAACAGTTCAGATAGATGTCTTACCCCTCGCCTGCCCACCTGGCGTCCATTAAGGTAGCGCTGCCCACCTGGGAGGATCACTCAGCTTCACGGGGGGAGGGCAGCGGTTGGGATACGCCTTTTAAACAAACGTTTACTCCCCAGCTGATCCTCCACTCCAGGTGAGTATCATAAGCAAGTTTATTTGGCAGATGCCCGAACTCTGGATAACATCGCAACTCGTCCGGACTTCCTGGGCCGAGATCCCGACTCGGACTCAAGCGTCCCTGGTGGGCCGGGGCGGAGCCAGCACAGTCCTGCGCGCAACCCCGCCCTGGGGGGCGTGGTTTCACTTGCGCGGGCAGGTAGGCAGCTACCTGGTAACGCTGGCCTGGCTCTGGAGGCTTAGGCGCGCGCAGCCTGTCCCGGCCTCCCCAGGGACCGAGGGGCGCCGGACCGGAGGCCGGGCGTGGGGCCTCACCCGCTCACCATGGTGGAACGACGTTTCTCCAAGTTCCTGCGCAAACTCCCATTCTCCCGGGCCGGCCACCAGTACCAGCCGCTGGAGAGGGGCGAGTGGGAAGCCTTGGTGAGTAGGGGCGCGGGACCTGACCACCTTCACTCTAGTCCAGCCGTAGGTCTTCTGGGCGCGCTGGAGGCTGTCCCCCACACTTCACGCTGCCCCTGGCTGTGGAAAGACATCCTTTCTTCAGAGCAGTGCAAGCTCCGTCCTCCTCTGGACTGGACACTTGATAATTTAACCTTCCATTTTTAACAGCCCATTTTGCGGATGCAAAACTGAGGTCCGAAAGAGGTTAAGGGGGACCCTGAAGAGGTACACAACTAACCCGTGGCGTGACTGGGAAGTGAATCCAGGTTTCTCTGACTCCAGGGAATTTTACCTAGGTTTATCTCTCTCCAGAGTCAGGCTACTGTATGGATTTAAAAAAAATTCTTTCCATTGAAAAACAAAACAGCTGTTGCTTAAAAGTTTTTAAGCAAGAAAGATGGAAATCAAGAACAGGTCTTACTGCTTTGCACTTTTTAAAAACCATTGTGGCTTGTTAACTTCTGACCTCCAGGGGACCCTTAGGATAAACCACGGAGATTTAGGGCTGGGGAGTTTTTCATCAAACAAACAGAGTCAGATGAAGTCCGTCTGCTCCTCTGACTCTTGAAACCGGGGGTTCCTAGTAATGGCTGGGTTCCCCTGCGCTTTGTCTGTGGAATTCCCGGAGTTTTTGTAAGAGTGTCTGTTATGGCGGAGGGGTTACTTGTCGGGCTGCTAACCTCAAGGTCAGAAGTTTAAAAACTAGCAGAAGTTCCGCGGGAGAAAGATAAGGCTTTCTTTCTGCTCCTTTACAGCCTCGGAAACCCTGTGCAGGGTCGCTATGAATCGGAACCGACTCCACTGCACACCACCACCACCTTCTAATTTGTCATTCAGAAACAAAACACGTGGAAATTCATGGGCATTACTACTCTGATCGAGTGGTGCTGCGGGTTAATACTCAAGACTGCAAGGTCGGTTTGAACTGCAAAGTCAGCAGTTCAAGCTCATCAATCGCTCCTTGAAACCCTATACACAGTTTCTATGAGTCAAAAGTGATTCGATGGCACTTAAAAACTACTCTGATACGTCTTTTTCATTATTGGGTGGAAATCTATACACTAAAGCAATTTACATTTGCAATTTTACATTTACATTTTACGTTTACTTTTATATTTTCAATTTAATGATACTGATGACATTTTTCATGTGGCACAACCTTCTCCCTGTCTGGTGCTGCAGGTTAATGCGCTGGACTGCCTTGTTGGTCTGAACCGCAAGGTTGGCGGTTCAATCTCACCAGCAGCTCCTCGGAAACCCTATACAAGGTCTCTGTGAGTCAGAACTGACTTGAAGATACTTAACAATACCTTTCTCCAAAGCATTCCATCACCATTGGCAGTATAGTCATGGTGGAGCCATAGGGTAAGAACTGGGCCGCAAACCACGAAGTTGGCAGTTTAAACCGACCAGCTAGTCCTTGGAAACCCTGTACAGGGTCAGTAAGAGTCAGAATCCACTGGATTCTGCCCCCTTAAGATAAAACTCCCTTTTCTCATCCCTTCCACCCACACCTGGTAACTACTACTAATTACTTACTTTACTTTTTATTGGGAATTGAATGATGGTTTACAGGCAACACCATCAGTTTGACATTTAGCAAATCATACAGGTTGTTTCATTGCAATGATTGCAATCCTCTGTAGGCAATAACAGGTCTCCCCCTTCCTCCCACCCATCCCACCCACCTTCCCATCTCTTCTCAACTTTGTCCTTAGGTAAATGGTGTCCTAAGGTAAATGCTTGACCATTCCATGCTGCATATACCTTCCTAGTGTTGCTGTCCCAAGGATGAGTTCCTTTCCGGACCTGAGAGGTGGTCAAGGGCAACCTCTGGTCTTGAGTTCCTCCAGTCTTTCTGACTAGTAAGCCCAGTCTTATTTTTGATTTGTGTTCCACATTTCCCCCCATTCTATCCAAGACCACCTAATGCGGTCCCTTTCAGAGTCGGTACCATCTAGTTCTATTGGTCTCCGAGTCGTGGAGACTGATGTTCACATCTTCCATTTGTCCATTGGAGTAATTGATTCCAAGAGTCTTCAACTATGAGTATTCTTTGGTTTCTATGTATTTGCTTATTTCATATAACTGAGATCAGGCAACATGTTCTTTTTCACTGAATTCTTTTGCTCAGCATGATGATTTCCAAGTTCAGCTATGCTGGGGCGTGCATCAGGTCTTCACTGCTCTTTGTGGCTGAGCAGTATTGTGTGTGTATCTGTGGGTGGACATTTCAGTTATGTCCACTTTTTGACTCTTGGAGGAAAATGCCGCAGTGAACATGTATAAAGAGGTGCCTGTTTGCATTCCTGCCTTCACGGTTTCTGGGCAGACATACAGGATTGGGGTTGCTGAGGCATATGGTATCTCTACCTCTGTGTTTTGCTATAGCCTTTCAACAAGTAAAGGGAAGCGTCAAAGTTAAATTGATTTTTTTTTTTTTAATGGAAAAGATCAGCTGGCAAAAAAATTATTTTTAATGAAAAATTTCCCAATGAGTACCAACAGTCAGAACATTTGCTTTAATGACTCAAATATTTGCATATAAAAAACATCCTATGTTATAAATGGTGCTGAAGTGAGCGTTCTGGTGTTAGGATGGGGTTAAACCGCAGCGCCGTATAACGAGCAGTTTGCCACAGTGTCTCATTTTCTGAAGTGTTTGTGTATGAAACGTCGGCGGGATGGAGACTTGAGTTACTTTGCTGTGATGCATTTCTCGCTCTATCGTGTGTTCTGTGTGCTGGTAGCGTAGTCTGCAATGGTTTGCCTTTCCCGCCTTTGTTATCCTCGTCCTCTTTCCTGTCCATGCTTTGATCTTTGCAGCATGCTGGGGTGTTTTATGTTCACAAAGCTCCTAATGGTGAAAATCAGGCACCCAGAGATGCTGGCTACAGGGATGGTATACAGAGGTTGGATCACTGCTCTACAGTGGACTGTATTCTCTAGAGCCTTCCAGAAGGATCCGGTGGGGCAGGGCAGGTCTTCTCTGTGCCTGTGGGTCCATGGGGTGCTCACCACCCTGCTGTGGACCAGAGCTCCCAACAACACCCTGGAGAGACTTAAAGAGATGAGCTGGCAGTCAGGAAGGGTGGGAGGTCCCTGATTCAGGCAGCCGGCAGGGAAGATGGTGAAGAAATCCAGGTGTCCTGTCCCTGAGGGGTCTTGTGCAACACAGGAAGTCCAGTAATGGTAATGGAGGAAGCTCTGCCTTGGCTGAGCAGCCTTCTTCCTTCCTCTTAGATGTGCTTCCTCCAGTTCTCAAGAAAGGAGCCCTGGTGGTGCAGTGGTTAAGTGCTAGGCTGCCAACTACAAAGTCGGTGGTTGGAACCCCCCAGCTGCTCCACAGGACCAAAGACGTGGCGACCTGCTTCTGTAAAGATGGAAGCTTGGAAACTCTCTGGAGCAGTTCTGCTCTGTCCTTTAGGGTCTCTCTGAGGAAGAGCCATGAGGCTCCCTGCTCCTGGAACAATTTTCAGGTTTTTTGTTTTTTTTTTTTTTGGATAGGGTCACTGTGAATCAGCAGTGGGGTCTCTTTTGTTTTCCTCTCTCAAGAATGTTTAGAAACAAGGCACTGCTTGACGGTTTCCACTAAGTCAAGAGTCTTTTATGGACATGTCTGCTCCAAGCCCTCCACACCCATGGTGGGCTCTCTGCTTCCTTGTTGGGTTCCCTCGGTTACAACACTCTTCCCATTGATAGGGAACTTGCTGTGTCTTCTCACAGCACCCAGGTGAGAAGGGTTGTTAATAACCCTTTGCTGGATGAGGAAGTTCAGGTCCAGAGGCGGGGCTGTTCCCCTCCATTCACAAATATTTGCTGATGTCGACTTGGAGCAGAGTTTGAGGGGATGGGGGCCAGGTGTCACGTGCAGTGGTCTGGAAACTGGTGAAAATGAAGGCAGGATGACTGGGCTGGAGACAGTGGGTGAGGTAGAAGAACCCAGAAGACCCAGCTAGTCAGTGCTGGGGGCTGGATTTGAACACAGTCCCCTACTGGCTTCAAAGATCACTGATTCTTCCACTGGTTGCATTTCCAGGGTTATGAAGAAGAAAGGTTTTGTGAGACACTCCATGTGAATTTCCTATGGCTTCAGTCATAGACCACCACAACATGGACCCTGTTAAGACCAAATTACTCTCTGCTCTAAATGTTTGTTGAAACCATATATTTTTAGTCATAGAGAGAACTTTTAATGAAATTTGTTTTTGCCCCTTGAGAGAATAGGATTTTTGATGCAACTAGTAGGACTCATATGTCCCGAGGGATCTCTAGTGCTGGGGTTGTTGGTGGGCCGAGGTCCATTTCTTCAGATTGGTGCAGTTGTACAGGCCTCTACCAGATGGCAGCGTGCACTAGAAGTGGGATAGCTGTTTCCCACTAAACCCCAACAGTGGAAAATGTAGATGGACAATATGTAACCTATGGGTCACAAGGCTTGTTAAGTGCTGTTGAGTTGGCTCCGACTTGTAGCGACTGAGGAGCGACTGGTGGGTGTGAACCACCGACCTTGTGGTCCATGCATTATCTGGCAGGAATTCATCAGAGGACAGACATCTGAAATCAAGGTCAAACAGAATTCTCTGGGGATCTTGTTAACAATGTAGATTTCTGATTTGGTACTTTTGTGATGAAAAGGCAAATTCTCAGCAGGGGTTGAATGAGAACAAACAGGTTCCAAGCCCTCCTCTGAAGGCTCTGTGGGAGGATCCTTTGCATGAATCTCTCCCAGCTTCCCTTGATTCCTGCCAATCCTCAGTGTCCCTTGACTTGTAGAAACAGCACTCTAGTTAGTCTCCACCTCCGTGGTCACATGATCGACACCCCTCTGTCTCTGAAGGAAACTGTAGTCATTGAATTCAGAGTCATCCTGATGCAAATCCCTCTCATCTTCATTTATTACATCTGCAAAGACCCTACTTCCAAAGAAGGTCACATTCACAGACACAGGAGGCTTAGGAGTCCAATGTTTCTATTTG